CCCCCGGGCCCCGCCCCTGCCCCAGAGCCACCTCGCCCCCGGGCCCACCCCTGTGCCAGAGCCAGCTCTCCTGTCCCTCCGTCTCTCACCTCCTCTCTCCTTGTCCTTTTTCTTCAGCTTCTTGGCCCCCGGGCCCCGCCCCTGCCCCAGAGCCACCTCGCCCCCGGGCCCACCCCTGTGCCAGAGCCAGCTCTCCTGTCCCTCCGTCTCTCACCTCCTCTCTCCTTGTCCTTTTTCTTCAGCTTCTTGGCGAGTAGCGGGCCGCTCACCTCCTGCAGCTTCCCCACGAAGAGCTCCACGTCGCTCAGCACGTGGTTGAGGATCTCCTGCAGAGCCAGACGTAGCCGCCCCGTGTCAGCGGCCCGGCGGGCCCCGTGTCTCTGGGGAGAACGCCCCCCTAGCAGCAGACAGTGCCCAGAGCGCCTCTGCCCAGATGCTAGTGCCCTGCGGGGCTCGGGGTGCTGCATAGGGACCAGTCCGCCTGGCCTCCAAAGTGGCCCTCCCCGCCCCTCCTCTGGCTTGTCCCCTTCCCTCGCAGCCGACCATAGCTCCCCAGGGCGAGGCTGGGACCTCACAGCTTGTCCCCTAAGCCGGCCGGCCGCCCTGCGTAGGCTAAAACTCCCCCAGCTTCCCTCTTCTGCTTGGGCCTGGCAGGAGCATGGAGGCTGCTTCCGTGCACAGCCCAGCAGCGTCAGTCGAGGCCCAGCGAGCTCTGCCCCGCTGCGCGTTTGCTGGGGGGCTGGGATCAGGGAGGTGCTGGAGCATGGGAGCTGCCCTGGGGCACTTACAGTGTCTCTGTCCACGTCCTGCAGCGGCCCACTCGCCTGTGGCTTTGGGGGGCTGTGGCTGGCCAGGCGCTGCAATGCGCAGGGGCAGGGATCAGTCGCAGCGGGGAGGGGTCATGGGGGACCTGCCATTCCATGCCCTTCTCCGCCTGGGCTCCCACTTCCAGCCCTCCCGCAGCAAACCCAGCGCCCACCTGTGCCCGCGGAGCACCGGGAGCCCCGTCTTACAGTCACTGGCAGGGCTGCAAAGGGGACCAGGAGTCTTGGGGCCAAATCCTCCACTGCACCCACCCTCCCCCACTCACCAGCCCGGCCCTGCCTCCCCCCAAGGCCATTTACCATCATCCATGGAGGCGGGGGGGCTCCGGGGCTCTTGGCTATGCCACCCTTGTGGGGGTGGGGGGATGAAGGGGTCTGGCTCCGGAGGCCCAGCCCTGCTGTCCTGGGTGGCAGGTGGCCCTCGGCTCTGCTGGGCCAGCATGATCTCCAAGTCGCTTCTGAGGAAGGGGACAAGCAGGGGATCCTCTGGTAACACAGCACCGAGGGCAGCCCCAGCAGAGGGGCTGGGGAGCATGTCTTGCGGGGCTGCACCCCCCAGGGACACTGAGGAGAAACACCTGGTGCCCCCTGGGAATCCATTGCACCCCTGGGTGCTCTGCACGACAGGCTAGGAGCACCTCAATCTACGGAGGGCCCGAGGCCCCGTCCAGCACTGCGGTGAGGGCTGTTTCCCATCAGCCCCTGGGGGATTTTCTTTGTACCTTTATGGGGGGTTTCCTCATCAGAAATCCAGGGGTGCAGAGGGACCCCCCCACCCCAGGAATCATGGATTGGGAGACAAAGAAGTGCCCAGAAGGGATGGTCATGGGCGCGGAGGGGGGCTGCTGACAAAGGCCCTCGGCACCCCACTACCTGAGCATGTCCTGACTCTCCTGCTCTCTTTTCCATTCCTTGATGGCTTTCTCCAGGCTGGCCTTCAGCAGCTCTGCCTGGCGGGAAGGGAAGAGGAGCATGAATCCCCCTCCACCGCCGAGCAGCAGAGAGCAGTGCCCCCCATGCACCCTGCAGCCACACAGGGACAGACGCCAGAGCATCCAGCTCGGAAAGCAACTGCCATGGTGCTATGGGAGAATCTCCCTAGCAGTCTGGGGGCAATGGCACACAGCAGAGGGCTGCAGTGCTAGGTAGTCCCCATTCCGTGCTAGGCGGAGACCAGGCCGCTAGCATGCAGCAGCATGGAGCTGGGCCCGTGCTCACCCCGAGCTGCTCGCACTGGAAGAGGATGATGCTGCTCCCGCGCTGGCTCTGCTCCCTGAGGGTGATGGCCAGGATGGAGCTGTAGACGCAGCGGTTGAGGACGGCGGCGCATTCCTGGACACTCACCAGGGGGTAGCGCTCCAGCTCCTCCTGCCGCCGCGCAGGGAGAAACGAGCAGGGCAGGTCAGCGGGGCAGTGGGCTGAGCCATGTGGGGAGCTCATGGGCTGGGCGGGGGGGGTTAGCCCCCAGTGTGGGGAGGTGGCTGGGACGAGCCAGGAGACCCCCACACACCTTGGTCTCGATGTCACTCAAGAGCAGCTCCTGGCCCTTCACTTGCAGGATCATGTCCTGTCCCCAGACCCGGCCCTGCGCTTCCATCATCTTCAGCCGCTCCACACAGTCCTCCAGGCCACGGACATCCCGGGAGTCCACTTGGATGGTGAGCAGGTGCTGGGGATACAAAGCCCAGGGTCCAGGCCTTCCCACGGAACACAGGGGGCACCCCGTGGCCATCAATGATTTAGATATTGGCATAGAAAGGAGGCTTATTAAGTCTGCAGATGATCCCAAGCTAGGAGGGGCTGCAACTGCTCTGGAGGATGGGTCAGAATTCACAATGATCTGGACAAACTGGAGAAATGGCCTGAGGTCAATAGGATGCAGTTTAATAAGGACAAATGCAAAGTGCTCCACTGAGGAAGGAACAATCCGTCTCACACACACAGAATGGGAAGCGACTGTCTAGGAAGGAGACCTGCAGAAAGGGATCTAGGGGTCAGAGTGAAATATAAGTCAACAGTGTGACACTGTTGCAAAAAAAGCAAACACAATTCTGGGCTGCATGAACAGGTGTGCTGTGAGAAAGACCCGAGAAGTCATTCTCCCGCTCTGCTCTGCGCTGGTCAGGCCTCAACTGGAGAATCATGTCTCGTTCTGGGCACCACGTATCAGGAAAGATGTGGAGAAATTGGAGAAGGTCCAGAGAAGAGCAACAAGAATGACGAAAGGTCTAGAGAACATGAGCTGTGAGAGAAGACTGAAAGAATTGGCCTTGTTTAGTTTGGAAAAGAGAAGACTGAGAGGCGTTTTCAGGAATCTAAAAGGGTGTCACAGGGAGGAAGGGGGAAATGTTTTCTCCTTGGCCTCTGAGGACAGAACAAGGAGCAATGGGCTTAAACTGCAGCCAGGGAGGTTTAGGTTGGACATCAGGAAGTTTCCTGCCTGGCAGGGTGGTCAAACACTGGAATAAATTGCCAGGGGGGTTGTGGAATCTCCATCCCTGGGGATATTTCTGAGTAGGTTAGACAGACATCCACCAGGGATGGTCTAGACCAGGGGTGGGGAAAAGGGCCTCTGCCCAATCAGGGGAGCTTTTGAACATTGAGTGCAAAATAAGGGATGTTTACCTCTGGGGTCTTGTTTCAAATATTTTGTTCTGATTTAGACACATACTCATTATTCTTAGATCCTGATTTTCATAGACTCATAGACTTTAAGGTCAGAAGGGACCATTATGATCATCTAGTCTGACCCCCTGCACAGTGCAGGCCACAGAATCTCGCCCACCCCTCTTAGAATAATCCTCTCACCTATGTCTCAGATATTGAAGCCTTCCAATACTTTGAAGGCCCCAACATGCAGAGAGTCCTTCAGCTGTGATCTGTGCCCAATGCTACAGAGGAAGGCGAAAAACCTCCAGGGCCTCTGCCAATCTACCCTGGAGGAAAATTCCTTCCTGACCCCAAATATGGCGATCAGCTAAACCCTGAGCATGTGGGCAAGACTCACCAGCCAGACACCCAGAAAGTTCCCTATAGCAACTCCTATCATCCCTCCATTGACCTATTTCCAACTGGAAATGAATGGTCAATTAGTTACCAAGATCATGTTATTTCATCCAACCATCCCCTTATCATAGAATCAGAACTGGAAGAGACCTCAGAAGGTCGTCAAGTCCAGCCCTCCGCTCTAGGCAGGACCAATCCCATCTAAATCAACCCGGCCAGGGCTTTGTCAAGCCGAGACTTAAACACCTCTAGGGATGGAGACTCCACTACTTCCCTAGGTAACCCATTCCAATGCTTCACTACCCTCCTAGTAAAATAGTTTTTCCTAATATCCAATCTGGACCTCTCCCACCACAACTTGAGACCATTGCTCCTTGTTCTGCCATCTGTCACTACTGAGAACAGCCTCTCTCCATCCTCTTTGGAACCTCCCTTCAGGAAGTTGAAGGCTGCTATCAAGTCCCCCCTCACTCTTCGCTTCTGCAGACTAAACAGACCCAAGTCCCTCAGCCTCTCCTCGTAGGTCATATGCTCCAGACCCCTAATCATTTTGGTTGCCCTCCGCTGGACCCTCTCCAATGCGTCCGCATCCTTTTTGTAGTGGGGGGCCCAGAACTGGACACAGTACTCCAGATGTGGCCTCACCAAAGCCGAATAAAGGGGAATAATGACATCTCTGGATCTGCTGGCAATGCTCCTCTTAATGCATCCTAATATGCCATTAGCCTTCTTGGCTACAAGGGCACACTGTTGACTCATATCTAGCTTCTCATCCACTGTAACCCCCAGGTCCTTTTCTGCAGAACTACTACTTAACTGGTTGGTCCCCAGCCTGTAACTATGCTTGGGATTCTTCCGTCCCAAGTGCAGGACTCTACACTTGTCTTTGTTGAATCTCATGAGATTTCTAGTGGCCCAATCCTCCAATTTGTCTAAGTCACTCTGGACCCTATCTCTGCCCTTAAGCGTATCTACCTCTCCCCCTAGCTTAGTGTCATCTGCAAACTTGCTGAGGGTGCAATCTATCCCCTCATCCAGGTCATTAATAAAGATATTGAACAAAACCGGTCCTAGAACCGAACCTTGGGGCACTCCACTAGAAACCGACCTCCATCCTGACATCGAACCGTTGATCACTACCCGCTGGGCCCGGCCTTCTAGCCATCTTTCTATCCATCTTACCGTCCATTTATCCAATCCGCATTCCCTTAACTTGCTGGCAAGAATATTGTGGGAGACCGTATCAAAAGCCTTGCTAAAGTCAAGGTATATAACATCCACTGACTTTCCCATGTCCACTGAGCCAGTTACCTCATCATAGAAGCTAATCAGATTGGTCAAGCACGACTTGCCCTTTGTGAATCCATGCTGACTATTCCTGATCACTTTCCTCTCATTCAAGTGTCTCAAAATGGATTCCTTTATGATCCCTTCCATGATTTTTCCAGGAACCGAGGTAAGCCCTGATTGGCCTGGGGGCAGAAGGAGGTGTGTGCAAACAGGGCCGTCAGGGCTGGACGGAGGCATGGGCAAGC